GAGTGAACTACATTACTTTTTAAATATGCTACGCTTCCCTTAGGTTTCTGAAGAGAAAACCACATGAAACTTAGGTTGAAAAGTTGGGAATGAGCTAGCAATGAAGATACTATATACTAATAGGAAAAAGAACCAAACCTAATGTTCAATCTGATAAAGACAGCAAAGACAGGGAAAAATAAAAGGATTAGTATGTTGTACCCGTTGATCTTTTCAAAGCTTAAAAAAATAAGAGAGGCACATATTTGGAATGACGGGCTCATTCTTGGGAAAACACAGGGAAGTCAAACAGGTCAAACATAAATCTTCATGACCAGAAATTTGTTCTTCTTTGTGAATTCAGGTAAATTTTAATAGTTTGCAGAGAGAAATAAAAAAACAAAATTGGGGCAAAGGCAGATATATATATGCACATACATACTAGAGGCCCGGTGCATGAAATTTGTGCATGGGAGGGGGTATCCCTCAGACCGGCCTGCACCCTCTCACAATCCGGGACATCCCTCTCACAATCCGGGACTTCTGGCTCCTAACTGCTTGCCTGCCTGCCTGCCTGCCTGATTGCCCCTAACCCCTCTGCCTGCCTGCCTGATCTCCCCTAACTGCTAACCTGCCTGCCTGATCGCCCCTAACCACGTCTGCCTCGGCCCCAGCTGCCATGGCTTCGCCAGGAAGGACATCCAGGTCATTTGGCTGTCCGGTCTAATTAGCATATTATGCTTTTATTATTATAGATATATAAAATATCTGTGTATAAAGTAATTAGGCCCTAAGAATAAATTCAACTTTATAATAACTAAATTACTATTTTAAATAATATAATTTGTTAATATTATATACTTAAAAATCTCACCTGACCTTCAAGATCTTATTTTAAGACCTAAAAATCTTAATTTAAAACATGAAGCCTCAAAGAACTAAAAATTATGATGCTGATCTACTCAAATAACTAATGAATGTTTTAATCAAAGAAAGTTTATGATTTTTACATTTTAAAGTTCCATGATTTTGTGCATAAGGATAGCTGATTTTCTTTCTTTCAGCAAGTCCCAATTTCAATCTATTATTTTCTTTTAGAACAGTGATGCTCAATTGTGGCTGCACATTAGAATAACCTGGGGGAAATGATAAAACAGTACATCTGGTTCCCACTGAGATAAACTGAGACAGTAGATAGATGAATCACTAGACAAATGCGACTATTTTTATATACATGCATCTAGAATCAATCCTTTATTCTTTTTGACATATGTGGCTCTTGAGAATACTGCCAGTGTGACTGAGAAATGAGTATTAAATTTTATTTAATTGTAACTAATTTAATTTAAATAGCTGTACTGGCCAGTGCAGTTCTAGATCATCTTTGGGATTTAGTTTTCTCATATGTATTGTCTGCAGAGAATTACCATGTTATTCATTGCCTCTACCAAATGTAAGGAAATATAGTAAAAATATATATATATAGTTTGTTTAGTTTAATTGAGAAGATAAGATTTTTTAAATCTGAAAATGAAAAATTCAGCTTTATAGTATAAAACAATAGTAAGGTCTGTATTTATTAATTTGTCAACAATTTATTGACTTAATATATATCAAGTACCATGTCAAACTTATGTTCATAGAAGATGAAAAAGACAAAACTTCTACCTTCATAGCGCTTACACTACATACGTTAAACCTAGCACAGAGCCTACTCATTATCAAATCAAGACCCAGATTTGCAGCAGCAGCCAAAGATGCTCTGGAGAAAATGTGATGTAAGTGAGAGTATCAGAAGAATGTCCACACAAAACCTTACTTACTAGGAGTTAGTTAACTGTTACAGAAACTGTTACATCAGATATCGGGAGAAAAGCAAGTATTTCCAATTTGCATCACGGATTTAAAAGTAATTATCAACCGAAGAGTGAATACCACTGACTATATGGGCTTCAAATCCTGAACTATAATTATGAAACAAAACTCAAAGCTTCCATATGCAAAGTAAACAGTGGCTATCAAAGGCTGAAATCAAATAAGAGAATTTATAGAGAAGAAAAGGTAACACTATCAGAAAGCTGACCAGGGGCCAGGCACTATGACATATATACTGCCTTACTGGATCACCACCTCTCTGAGGGTGGAACAGCAGCCCCAGTTTTAAGATGTGAAAAAAAGCTCAGAGATTAATGACTCATCCCAGGTCAACAGCTAGTAGGTGGCAAAGCCAATTCTATCCCTGATGCTTCTACCACAGTGTTTTATCTTTGTGAATGAAAACTCGGTTTACTTGGTTTTCTATTCTCACATTTTACTTTCTAAGTGAAACATGAAGCAACAAAATGAACAGTGCAAAACCTATTTCATTAGACTCTAAATTCCTTTATGGGAAGTGTTTTATTAATTCTCTGTTTATATCTATGTCCCTCTCATAGGTTCCTCACACAGTAACTACACAATATTTGTTAGATTGAACATTAAAATATTAAAAATGTTGACATTTAAAAATAAGTACTGTCAGAATCCTAAAACTACCCTAAACTGTAAATAGTGTGATATGTACTCAGTGGCAGAGAGGAAGTTAACATCCTATGTAATAAAAGTGTAATATGCAAATCGACCGAACAGCGGAACACCCATGGCCTCTCACCCCAGCCGCCCCCAACCCCAAGGGGGCCCCCCCGCCCCAGCCAGCACACCCCCAATGGGCCCCCATCGGGGAGGGCTGGCTGGACCCCACCAGTGCACGAATTTGTGCACCAGGCCTCTAGTGACTATTATACAACAAGACCCTTCTAGTACCTTGATATGTTTTACACCACAGCTGACAAGTTTATTTGGCTGGTACAAATCCCAAGAAATATCAAATATCTGTAAACAAATCAGATTTATGGTTAAAATACTTACTTCAGAATCATTTAACAATGCTGTCCAAAAGACCAAATAACCCCCAAACTCTACCTATCATAAAGTCATATTCCTCAATAATAATAAAAATCTTATGAGAAATAAAGTAAATACATAAATGATAAGGAACAAAAGCTATATCTTGCCCGGCCAGCATGGCTCAGTGGTTGAGCATCAACCTATGAACCAGGAGGTCACAGTTTGATTCCTGGTCAGGGCACATGACTGGGTTGTGGGCTCAATCCCCAGTGTGGGGCATGCAGGAGGCAGCTGATCAATGATTTTTCTCTCATCGTTGATGTTTCTATCTCTCTCTTTCTCTCCCTTCCTCTCTGAAATCAATAAAAATGTATTTTTTTTAAAAAAGAGCTGTTCTTTATTTAAAAAAAAAACACTATTTCTTAGTTTCTATGAACTTATGAAACAACTACATAAACTTATGAAGCAAGTAGTAGAATGACAATTAACAACTCTATTTTTAATTCTTTTTTTAAAATATAGGCCCATAGCCCTAACCGGTTTGGCTCAGTGGATAGAGCGTCGGCCTGTGGACTGAAAGGTCCCAGGTTTGATTCCGGTCAAGGGCATGTACCTTGGTTGTGGGCACATCCCCAGTAGGAGGTGTGCAGGAGGCAGCTGATCGATGTTTCTCTGTCATCGATGTTTCTAACTCTCTCTCCCTCTCCCTTCCTCTCTGTAAAAAATCAATAAAATATATTTTTAAAAAACATAGGCCCATAAATAACAAGAATGGTTCAATACAACTAGGGCATAGGCATTTCTACAAAAGAAAAATCTGAATGGAACACACACTTAACACATACAGCCAGAAAGCTTTCTATCATGCAGAACTACTTTCATAAAGAATCCAAGCATTTTTTTCATAGTACAAATTCTATTTTTATTTTTATTGTTTATCGGTCAAACAAAATTAACTTATGCACTTAAATTTTGGAGATCCCCAGGCTTTGTTCCTTTCTAAGATTCCATAAATTCTAAATACACACAAACCATTTTTATTACAAAAACAAACAAGAAAAAAACCTAGATGAAATAAAACATGCATTAGAAACATGTACTTTAATAATAAATATAAGAAAAACTAATATTTGAAAAATAACTTCATAGCAGAAAATAATTCTGCTATCTGGTAGTCTTCATCATATTTCTTTGACACCTGCCAGCACAATGATGTAAAATGCTCAGTACCTCTAAAAATACACTGATAGCCTTCAGTGACAATGAAGAAAGAATACATCGTGAAAGTTAATGGTTAGCAACTCACCAAAAAACAGATTAAATGAAAAACATACTGATGCAACTTTAAAATACTAACCACAAAATAGTTTTAAAAGTTCCAATGACAGTATCATTTTTTCATAATAATCAATCTATTTACTAAATCCTAAGTACTAATGTGTGAAATGCTTTGTTCTAAGTCAGAATACAAAATTGTTTAATAAGCTATACTTAACATTTTAATAATCTAAATTGTGTTTTTGTGTAACAGGCCCCTCTGAGAATCTGCTAAAAACCAAGGTGTGTTTTTTCCCAAAACGCAAATCACACAAATGTTTCTATACACTTTTACAGATTCATAGATTCTCCCGAAATAGAATCAATGACTATCCCTCCTGTGCTGGTTTAGCTAAAAATTTTATTACACACAAAAAACTCAGACATTTTAAAGAGTTTATGATAAAATTCTGATGTATGTTTATATAAAAGCAGTATAATATTTAATTCAAAAGCTGACATCATATCCTTTATGTTAATTTTAAACATCTTAGAATAACATATTTTTAACAAGTTTCATAAATAAAAAATGTTAGGTCTCTAAAAACCCTAATTCTAATACATAATTTTAAATTCACACACGAAATATCGTTTTCACCTTAACTATGAAATATATGTAACAAATCAGTGGTAAACCAAACTAAACAGACCCTAGGCCTGAACCATTCAATTTTTAAATTGAGGTTTTAGTGTCATAAAATTCATCATTTTTGCTGAAGCAACTAGGTTAAAAGTTTTGTGCTAACACTACACCTATTGAGTCTACAATACAAATGCATTCTAATTACAACTGTACTTTAAATTTTTAATTAGATGTGAACTATTGGTCAATAACAAAAGACAGAAACATAAAATCCCCTGACACCCTCTGGCCGTTTCCCATCCAGTACCCATTAGAAACCAGAAAGGCAATACTCACTCTATCTGTGTGACCAGGAGCCATAGATAACATTTTCCCCCTTTTCCAATCCCAAACACAAACTGCATTTTTTGAATCGAGTCCAACTGAAACCAAGCGCTGAAATATTTCCAAGAAGTCCCGACGGGCAGGCAAACAGATAAAAAAAGGAACCAAATTATAAACGGCAAATTCTACTCGTATTATAAACATCAAAACAGTTATATTTTATAGACTTTATTGAGAAAGGCTGGATATATTTCATCTTGTTAATATTTGCACATATGTGTGATTCTTCACATTAAGAAACAGAAGAATGACTTCCATGTCTAACAGTAGGATTGACAAAATGCCCTAAACATCTCTCCTGTCAAAAACTAAAAATGTTAGATAAAATGTAAAAACATCTTTTAAATGTACTACTGAGCTGTCAAAAATTAAGAAATCTGAGAACAAAAACAAAGTTGTTTCATATGGGAATCTTGAATAGTAAGAGCTCCTACATCCATCTACATTACTCTAAAGGTGTCAGCTAAGTCCTGGTAAGCCTGATTTTGTTCTGTAGGCTGAACAGGAATAGGAAATAAAGTTTAAGACACGCCGAAGGTAGGGATTTGATATGCAAACCTCTAACTAAAGCATCGAACTCCTCAGAGTAAGGGAAAACAAGAAACTATCCTATATTAAGGAGGGGTGGCAATTCATGAAGGGAGAAACACTACCCTGAAAATCTGTAGCCACAAGCAGCCTTCGTGTGGCTGTAAGGCCTAACTCCACATTAATCATAAATCCGAAATTTTCATTTAGAGTGGTCCTAAGGATTGCAGAATCTTCAAGCATTTTTCAACAATGTTGCATAGGCAGATATAAATACTATGTGGAGGACTAAAATACCCATCCCTCAAAATATTTGTAAAGATAGCAATCAATAAAAATAAAAAATAAATAAACAACCTGTTCCCAATAATCACAGACATAAGAGACATGAGTGAGAATGAGAAAGTCACGACAAACAGCAAAATCAGTCCTGCAAAACATCAGACATTGGATTTATCAGATTATATAAAATAAGTATAAGACTTAAAAATAGCCCGAGCTGGTTTGCATCAGTGGATAGAACGTCAGGCTGCGGACTGAAGGGTCCCGGGTTCGATTCCAGTCAAGGGCACATGCCTGGGTTGTGGGCTTGATCCCCTGTAGGGGAGAATGCAGGAGGCAGCCTATCCATGATTCTCTCTCATCATGGATGTTTCTCTCTCTCTCCCCCTCTCCCTTCCTCTCTGAAACCAATAAAAACATATTTTTTTAAAAAAAGACTTAAAAATATCTTCATATGAGCAAAGAATAGGAGGCTATAAAAGTATCCAGGCAGATTTGAAGAAGCAAAGAGAATTTCTAGATACGAAAAAAATAAATGAAATTAAAAACTCATTGGAAGAGTTAAATAGGCGATTAGAGGGAAGTAAAGAGAGAATTGAAAAGAGGAGACAGTGAGATGGAAAGTAGGAGAGAGGTTAAGAAACATGAAAGATGAATTTCTGGCCATGAATGAGTATCAGGGTCTGAACTTGATCCTCTGCTATAAACAATCCGAAAACTGTATAAAATACATGAAACAAAATGTTTTCAGACATTCATAATAGGAAGTGAAGAATTGTGAATCCTGAAATGGGGGAAAACAAACAAGGTGAGTCGTGAAATTGCCCCAGCCTTTATCTAGAAGGCAATTTCCAGACTATAGCCCCGAAAGGTGGAATCCAAACAGAGGCCAGCAGACTTGCTGATTTGAGAAGACAGCCTAGAGTTCAGAGAAGCCAAGATGGCTAGTAATTTGCAGAACAGAGAAAAAGCTCCATAAAATCAGTTTATAAGTCCCCTTGAGAACACCAATATTTCATGCACAGGGTAAAATCCTGAGGCCAAGCAAAGAACAAATTCTGAGGAAGAAAAAACAATTACTAAGAAGCTAGGCCAAAAAACTCCCAAAGATCACAAAGGGTCAGTCACTCAAGACTTAATTTACACATATGAATGAAGAGCACCCAAACAGTAAATGCATAAATATGATTTTTCTTATTTTTAATTTGCCTTTAAAACTAACTATTCTAGGCAAAAATAACAAGTTAGGGGTTTACAAACAAAACATGTAGAAATAAAATGAATGAGAACAACAGTACAATAAACAGAAGGGAAGGAAACAGAAGACATATTTTTCCCTACCATTTCCAAATGTACATGATGCTTCATTAAGATCACAAAATTCTGAATCACAAAATAAGCCTAAACAAATTTTTAAAATGAAAATACAGAGTACGTTTTCTGTATTTTCAAAAACAGAAATCAGAATAGCATGAAGTTATTATCCTATGAGGTACTTTTATTATCTCCACTTCATAGGTAAGAAAAATAAGGTACTGGTTTCTGACAAAAACAGAAATCAGAATAGTATGAAGTTTATACAAAAAATCCTTCAAATATTTGTAAATTAACAAGACATACACTTCTTAGTAAATGAAGGGTTAAAGAAGAAATCACAAGGACCAACCCACAACACATACTTTGAAAAGCGCTGATTTAGAAGC